TTATTCGTAATATTACGTCTAGAATGTAACCGAGCTCAAATAAGGCATACGTCTATCGAGCAACTGTTCAAGAACTAGGAACCAATTAAAAAATAAACTTAACTGACTGCTACAGTTCCGTGGGCATAGAAATAATACAAGAAGGTCAGACCGACGTAGTTCATATCATTTACGTAGACAAATTAATTTCTGTTTGAAGGTCAAGGAATAAGGTAATGTATCTTAAAAGACGTTCTTGATACACTGATTACTACTACAAGAGACGATGTTAGCGCCGCGTCGGAGCCAGTCAGCTGGAAAGCAACGTGCCCTGATACAGATCGACGTTAATCTACTCGAGCAGGCATAACGGACAAATAGACTGATATTAAAAAATAACAACAATAAATACAGGATGTGGTACATAAACACTACTAGGTAGGCAACGCATCTGCAAATACGGGTGTCTAAAGGGCAGCGGTGGCTAACCTATTTTGGTGAGTTCCGGTGGCCGCTAGCTTGTTTGTTACTTTGTTGACCGACTTCCCAAACGAAGGAGGTACTCAATTCGTCTGTATGTTTTACTACAAATAAAGTCAACAAAGGCATACATTTTTAAACACTGAAGAATAAAATGTCAAGATTTTTACGTTCACTGTTTATGTAGTCGCTCTTTACCTGTACATGGATCGAACGTATTGATCACGGAAAATTCTGACGATGCGTTTACGATGAAAATGACTAAGTATGCAGACTCGCAGACGTTATGAACGACTGCTTATTTACTTGTATTACTGTATTGGTATACGTCTGCGGCTATCGGGTATCCTACGTATGTTCGGTAAAGTATGTCGAATATGATAAAAAAATAACACGTGTACACGTGAAAAAGTAAAACTACCGAAAATAATCGTAGCACAGCTGTTCATATACAGGCTGTTGCCTGCAGTGATACAATACACGTGAGTGTTTCTCTCTTACTCGACCGTCGACATAAATTTTTCTCCCTCATGTAACGAACTGTTTCAAACGAGATGCGACCGAGATGCGACAATTTTTACTCGATCGTTGCAAAATAGGACCCCAATAATGTGACCAAAAATTCAGACTCCTTTCTAGATGCTTTATAATCGATCAGAGATTATTTTGAAAATCACAACCTATACTAACAGAATGAATATTCGGTAATTAGGGTTTTAAACTGTAAAAACCTATTTCTAACAGCGAGTCTACGGCGGTATCCGTAGTGCGTTATCTATCATATTACATTGTTATCAGCGCGTTACTCGCAGCCGAGCACGTGCGGCGTCGCCGCGCGAGATGACACATGCCTACAATTCAGGGTTCCGTATTAAACCTACTATTATGACGTCATTAGTCGATTACTTAGTAGGGTGTCATGCTAATCAGATATGTTTCAATCTTCAAAACGATTTCTTATAAACAAAACTGTGTGTCTGTCTGACTGTAATCAAAAATTGTAGCTAATTTGTTTAGTTGTGGTATACAGAACCGTTGGATTACGGTTCCGTTGCCACTTGTCGTGTCTATTATCACAGATTTACTAAGTACTATACCTCTGTTACTTTTATTACGGCATCATTAAATGCCTCTTCCAGCCAATCAGACAACAGCGTCGCGAGCGAAATGTTACGAAATTATTAAACGATGTTACGTTGTTCTTTTGTTTTATCTTACTTAAGCGCAGATGATTACCAACCTCCTGCTGAATGTATCGTACATACAGGATTATTTTTATCACCAACAGAAATACTGTTGCGCAATAGCTAGTTGATTTTGACAAAAATAATGTCGGAAAATGTTTGAAAACTAAAAAAATAGTGTGAATACCTTATTTAAACAGATATCTTAAAATATTCAAGACTAGCTCGCGACTTCGTTTGCGTGAAATTAAAAAATATATCCTATGTTACTCACTGATAACGTAATTTTTTTTATTTCGTTTATTTAGCGCTTCCTTTTAAAGAAAACCATTCAAACATTACCCTAATCGTAAGATGTGAATTACATAAAGTTATACTTTAGAACATATGTTCTGATTTATATAAATGTTGTATTTTCTAAGGAACCCTAAACTTTCCGTGGAATGGTGCATTAGTCAAATGAAGGTCAAGTTCGAGGCCGCATTCTCCGAGCAGAGCTGAGCCGCTCGAAGCGGTTATAATATAACAAAAAAAAACATACATACCAATTCTACCGTACATAGTTTTAACAGGTCATCTAAACTTAAGGCTCTTTTAAACAAAGACAGGCATTTATCACAAAAAAAAATAGAAATACGCTGTTTGATAATAGAAAAATAGGTTATATTATAGATTGTATAAAACAATCAAGACTTTTTTCAACCTTTACAAAAAACCGTTACAAAAGAACCTTTTCTAATTTTATCTAAATTATTATTTTCACTCAGTCCTTTTTTCTATTGTCCTTTTCTTAATCGATATTTTTTACCTACAGAAATAATAGCATTCCTTCTCATTTGAATATTTATTGTTTTTGATTTGGCATTTTTTTTAAACTTAATATACAAAAATGTTGGTTTTAAATACATGCGACTATCTCATAGTCATATCGAGGATAAAAACCCCAGTCACATATCGTGTGTAACATTTGAGGAGCGGATTTGATTGTTTACTCGTAATATAATAGGTTGGAGAATAACTACTCAAAGCTGCGGCCACCTACACCTATACTAGTTTTTACAAGCTTTTTTATGAATAAATTTTTCTTACAAATCCACTAAATGTTATCGGATATGGCTTCTTCAACACACAACATCGGCTTTCGTCAACGAAACAGAAATTATACTCGTTCATTGTTTAAATGTCAAGGTTAGTGTCGAGTACCTCTTACAAACACGCATTAACGTGGAGCGTGTATCTCAGCTAGGTTGAAGCAGTTCCAGAGCAAAACTCATGTTTTCAAACTCTAAGTGAATGCTAAATATACGAGTATCATGGTAATAAATCTGAATAGAGTATAGCTGTTTTTAAACGTAATCAGATATATTTTACCAGTTATATACTGAGCTATTTTTTAATATCAACTATAAGGTGAAGTGAGGTAAGGTGACAATGCAAAATGTGTACAATTTCAACCCCACCTCGCTTATTACATCTTTTAAGCTGCAGAAGACAATAAATTGTAATTTGCAACAAATGAACGTATCTATGAGGAATATTTACCATTCACAATCTAGATTGGAGACGTCGGCGTCCGCGCTGGAGCCGCTGATGGTGAGCACGCCGTGCCGGCCGAAGAACGACTTGCGGTCTCTCTTCTCGCTTCTATCATCGACGCTGGATTCGATCACAGACACCGAGGACGAACTCGACATCTTCCCAACACTAACACGCATCGGGTTTTGAAATAAGTAACATCAAGATCCACACATTTACTTACAATTTTTTCTTTATAACCTATACTTAAACATCACTTACAATTTTGACAGGAATGTGACTGCGTTAAAAAACTTCACGTATTTTAATTTCTGTAATACCCACATTTTCGTAGTCGATGCTAAGATATACTGAAGTTTGAACTCGTCGCGCTGTAATAATTTAATTAGGCTACTATGACACACCGTTATTATTGTAAACAATGTATTTTGTTATTATATGATATTTAAATTAAATAAAGTGATACAGTTCTAGCTATAATTTACAACTGTTAAGTACTCACTCAACTATACAATAAAATTTAATTGTAGGTATTTTTAATAAGTATAAATCATAATCATAAATCATCATATATATTTTAAATAATATGTATATGATGATTTATACAGTACCTACATTTGATTAAAATACAAGAAGGTGTTACTGCTTTTAACACTTTTAATAATTACGAATCACGAAATATTACACACTAGCGCCATCTCGTACTAGAAAGAAAAATATCACTTTAGTTTTTTTTACCGTCCACAATGACAAAATGGTACAATTAATTGTAACTAACAATGTCATCTCTTCTCAAGTAACGAAAAGTTGTAAAAATAGATTATAGTGAAATATGATGCAGAATTGAAACTAAAATGAACACTAAAATTAAAAACAAAAAACTGATCACAGTGACATCTAACGCGTAGAATAAGAACTAAACGGAACACACACTACCGCCATCTATTGCCAAGTAGCAGAAAACTATTTGGCGATCACAGTGACACCTATCGTGCAGACTCAGAACTAAACGGAACACACACTACCGCCATCTATTGCCAAGTAGCAGAAAAGTACTTGGCGATCACAGTGACATCTAACGCGCAGAATAAGAACTAAACGGAACACACACTACCGCCATCTATTGCCAAGTAGCAGAAAACTATTTGGCGATCACAGTGACACCTATTGTGCAGACTCAGAACTAAACGGAGCGCACACACTACCGCCATCTATTGCCAAGTAGCAGAAAACTATTTGGCGATCACAGTGACACCTATCGTGCAGACTCAGAACTAAACGTAGCACACACTACCGCCATCTATTGCCAAGTAGCAGAAAACTATTTGGCGATCACAGTGACACCTATCGTGCAGACTCAGAACTAAACGGAACACACTACAGCCATCTGTTGTAGCAAAAAGTTTTCTTATTTTTCGATCACAATGACACTACAACCCAACGTGTAGAATTAGAACTACACGGAACACAATATCTACACTCTTGGTAAGTGGCTCAAAAATTTGTTTTTAATGTGAAGCGGTTGACATAAGATGGCGTTATTATGTACAAAAAGATAAAGTTGAGCGTTGTATCACCGATAGTATAATACTAGTGTTTACAAGCACTGCGGCCGTCATGCATTGTGTTTTGATAATAGTGACATCTATAGTACGAGATTTGAAGGTGACCTATTTAATGAACTACTTAACATATTATAGATGTCGTGACTATAGCAAACTGATGAGTATTGACAAAATATTTCATATTCAAAACTTCAAAAGAAAGGAAAGAGACAAAAACTAGGAAAAATATAAGGCTGGTTTCGTTTTCGTTTTCATCGAGTTTAGTTTTGTCCTTTGGATGGTTCACTGTTTTGTCAAGTTATTTTCTTCTGTATTTACAAAATAAATAATGTAAACCCTCTATGCTTTAAAATTCAAGTTTTTGTGGTTCACGTTTTAAGACACAGCATGAACTGGAACTGCAACTCGGCTACTTTATTATTGATTTTTCGCTTTGAAAGTGCTTAGTATTGTGATTTGTGGTTATTAAAGTGCAATAATCAAAGGTAACGACAGATCAATTATCATTAGTGTTTTTGTATCTTTTAAAATCAATGTAATTTAGTCCAAGTTAAAAAAAAAAACACCATATGGTTCAAATATATATTTGTCATATTCCCAATTTTTCTTAAGATTCTTCAAACAAAAAAGTAACAATAGTTATTGTAAATATTTACACTTATAAGATATTTACATTTACTAGAATTCCTTTTGCTTTCTAACAAGAGAATGAGAGAGATGACAAGATACCTTTAGTTGTTTTGACAAACTAAGGAAATATAGGCATTACTACGGACTACAGACCGACAAAAGTCGGATTCTTATTGTTCCCCGGACTATTCGTAGCTTCGAGTAGTTGTCCGCGCAACGGATGCCTACTTGTAAAATGTATGATTTTTCATAAAAATAATTATTGTTATTCGAGAGATACTATCGGGTTTTAAGATGATTTAAATTCTTAATTAAATAAAGAGGAATGATTTGTATTTTTGTATGTATTGAAATAACTCAAAAACTTCTGGGCCGAATTAATAAATTCTTTTACCAATTAATAGCTACATTATTATAAGTAACTTAAACTATATTTATAAAAAAAATGCGCGGACGAAGACGCGAGCAAGACTTAGTTTGTTATAATTTCAGTACAAATAGACGATCGTTGTCTAACGCATAGCGTATTTACAATAATGTTGTTGATAGCATTATAATTCAATAGCGAATATTACAATAATGTGTTCAGTCAACTTGAATGTCCGTGTTTCCATAACACATGTAGTATAAACTTTAGATTTATTATAGATATGATTTGTTTGATAGATATTATAGAAAAAGTGTAACTAGAATTTAATGTGAAAATGGTTTAAAAAAGGTAATGTCCTTAAAGACAGCGCCCTTCTAATAGAAGAATAAACATCGAATGATATAACATATTAAGAAGTCGAACAATTTCAAATGTTACAATACAACGAATGTACACAAAAAAAAGCTCCCCAAAAAATAACACATAGAAAAAAGTAGACATATTTATATTGCATTTCAATGCAATTCATAGAATGTAAAAAAACCGACTTCCAAACAAAATACACGAAAAACAAAACAAAATACACCAAAAACAAAATATTCTCAAAAAAACAGTACACTAAAAAGTA